CCGGTGAGGTAGGGGGAAAAAAAAAGGTATGTACTTAAGATCTTTCAGTTCAAGAAACCAGTTCAACCTACTCCAATGCTTCTTAAATGAAGAGGTACACGTAAGAGGTAAAAGAGGTAAATTAAAGGTGTGAGACAGAAAAGAGGAAAAGAAGCAGCTCTTGATTCTCTGAAGCAATGTAGGGTCCTTGGTTATTACAAATCACTCAACAGTAGGAGCACTGACTCAGATTTATACCAATTAAGATACAGCAGTATGATGCAACTTCAATTTCTAAAACTCAAAATCTTCTTTCACTTTAATCTAGTATTAACAGCAATCTTTCCACATTAGTAAATGCAGTTAAGCCAGTCTTAAGTCTTTTCTAAGATAAATATATTTTCAACTGTCATTGTGAAGAAGATGCTTAGGATCTTAAACAACTGTAGTGGATTTTTCTGAACTTTTCCTAACACAAATCTCAGTTTTGGCAAGCAATCTGTTTAGAACAGAATTCTCCACAGCAGGTGTATGCCTCATGTCAGTTCAGTGTGGTGGGGAGATCAACTAAATAAAGCCCTAATCCTATGAAAATTTATTTTGTTACACAAAAGCATATCAGAATGCATATGCTGAAGGAAGAAGCATGTCATGAACGTTAAATCAGATACTTCCTAACTCCACAACCCTAATCTTCTCTCCATGACATTTGTGTCACTGTTTTTTTCACTAATTTTACATTTTACGAATGTGTACACGAATTTGTAATCAAGATATGAACTATGCAATTAATTACTGAAGTGAACTAAACTGAGGTGTGATAGTACATGAAGTATTTTTACTAAAATTCACCAGTAAACTACAAATGTTTTGGCCATTTATTTACAGAGAACCGTGGTGGTAGTATTTTGGCATAGAAGAATATTCCAACAAGTATTCATTTCTTCTTCTTGTAAATGGTTTCTGATGTTTACGTGGAATCAAATCTCCATATATGCATGAAGAGAGTCAGATACAGGGTTTTTTGTCTGAGTCTTTAGCACTAAGATTGCTCAAAAAAAAGGAAATACTCCTCTTTAAGTCTAAACAGAATAGACAGGTTGAATATGATCATACCTTATATCATAGGAGTTCCTACCATCTTTTTAAATAGTCTGATATCCAGTTCATTATCAATACCTAACTAGTCAAAGCTATCATTGTATCCCTCTGTAATGATGGCACTCAAAAGCTGTGCTGTCATAATTGTGCTGTCATCAGTACCCAAAATGGCAATGAAATACTAAAACTTCCATACACACTACATTCACATCTCCAAACTATAATACGTAAGTACAGGACCAAACAAAAATACAGCTCAAACCTGGTAATCATGTTTCTGACAACTGGAAAGGAGTACAAAGGATTAGGAGAGAGAGACAAAGCTAAAAGCACAAGTCTAGTTTCTAGTAAAGTAGTTCTTGATTTAAGAGACTTCCTATGCTGATTTTGTATCTGTATTTTTGCAGATTTAATTTAATCTTTTCTCCCATATATTTTTCCAATCCTATCTTAAATGTATTTATAATTTTAGCACGTGCAATACCTATGGTACTGAATTTTACTCAATTTTGCCTTACGAAAAAACACATCCTTGCTTATTTTAAAGAAGCTAATTTGATACATATTCTTATTTTATGATATGAATAATTATGTCTGAATCAACTTTCCCAAGTCACTTGTAATACAATACTCTGGAGTTTTTTGTTTCCAAGCTGAAGTTCCTATTGTCTCAGGCCCTCATAACATCATCATCCTTTACTTTTTCTTGATAAGCTTCACTCCCTTTCAGAGTGAATGACCACAACTGCATTCAGTATTTGAGGTTTGAGGGCACCATGGATTTCCCATGGCACAGTGATGTTTTCTACTTTTTTTGTCGGATCTTTTACTAGTTCTTTCTAATAATCTAGTTGTCTTTCTGATTTCTACTGAGTAGAAAGTTATCATTTCCACAGAAAAATTATGCTAAAAGGTTTCCAGAACAGTTTCAAGTAGTTTAGAGTTTGACACTGTGCAAGTACAGTTGAAATTATTTCCCCATGTGCATTATTTGATATTTATCAGTATTGAATTGCATGTAATTTTATTTTCCTTTCACTGTGTATCTGGAAACCTTCTGCAATGTCTCTGTCAGTTTTAATTTTCACTGCCGTTAATAATTCAGTGTCATTAGTTAGTTCAGTCACCTCCCTTTTCTGGATTAGTTGTAAGTAGCACACGTTGCAACACATCTTTGTAAGGCAACACTCTCAAAATATCTAAATTTTTAAAAACTGATCTCTATTCTCAACTTAGTGAATTTTAACTAGTTAGAAGTTGATCAGTCTGAGGGCAAGAGGGAAAGGCCACTAATGGATTTGAAGTATTTGTCAAAACCTTTTTGGAAGTTCAAGTATTCTATCTAAAACCAAAACATCTGTCTCCATAATGTTCACTAATTTCTGCAAGGAAAACTCTACTAATGAGGTATGAGCACCCAACAAAAGCTGTATGCACTTTTCTACATTATTCTGTTATGTACAAAACCCAGATCTTTGGAGTCTGTATGCTACTTTAATCCTCAAAGAAGAAGGAAGGACAAGCTACAGTTTCACAGCATTGAAGTACTCACCACCTACTAGGAAGGGCTTGAAAGAGAGAACTGTAATTTCAGTCCTTCTCTGCATGTTTCCACCGTTCAGGAGATGTCAGACATGAGTCCTGCACCCTAAATACATGTGCCAGTTTTGTTAGAAACAAATATTGCCTTCGCTTTACTTAACCTCACCAAGCAAAGTCCAGGCTCCACAAGTACCCTCTACAAAGCAGTCGTAACATATAACCAAAGTTACCCATTATCCCCTACAACTCAGGCTATGTTTATATGGACATATTAGCCCTCTTCTCAAGGCTACAAAAATTACCTTAATAGGGTTAACATTACCAATAATAAAAAAAAAAATCTCCCTTAATTAAAACTAAGTTTTAGACCTCTTCAAATCAGTGCTTAAGACCAAAGCCTTGACACTGGGTGGACAGAAAAGGCAAGCAGGCTTAAAGCCTGGTCCATTTGAGAGCCATGCTGTTCTCAAGAGAAAATCAGACCACAGAATTAAGCTTACATATAGAAATTATGCTATTCATTATATGCAGTTACCATTTCCAAAGTCACGAATAACTGTTCATTACTTTCAGAGATTTTTCTAGAGGTATCTTGTTTGTTTCAGTGTGCTTTTGTTTAACTTACAACTGGCCATTCACTAAATGGACTTGATGATCCTTGTGCGTCCCTTCCAACTCAAAATACTCTGTTATTCTACTGAGAAATATCTTCTCCTCATCCTCTCTTCAAAGTAGAACATCCCAAAGTGAAGACCATCAGCTCCCCAAACTCTTTTTTTCCAGTCATGGGTCAGAGTCACAACATCCAACATCACCTTGACATTTGTTCTCATTAAAATGCCACATAAAAGGTTATTGCTGAACGTGACTATGGAATTAAGATTGTGCTGCTTTCACATCTCTTAAAGCATTTGCTGGTGGTACAGTATACACCTTATGTTTTCATATCATCACTACTCTCTCAGAATGTAATAGAAAAAAATCATCTAATTAATGTTAGAATGGATTGGGAAGAAGGATGACACTTCTGTGATTTTTATTTAAAATTCCTCAGAACTTCAGAATCTTCATTGTGGGTTGTTTTTTTTTCTTCTGGGAAGGGACAGCACTGATTGACTGACTCAGCATGTCAATTAGTAGAGAAATAGTTTCACAAAAAAGTCTCATGTCATCGGATTAGTTTAATGGGCAGAAAGCCACATAGGGTGTAGAATTTTAATCTACTTGAAAAGCGAAAGTGACTGAAAAAATTCTGTACAATATGTTCATATAGTCATATCCTATATTGACAAAATTAAGGTGTCAGTGGTTAGATCAGAACAGTCTGTGGATGAAGAACATCACTGATGCTGGATCAAGAAAAAAGTGCTTGCAGAAGTTTCTAACCCTTGTGTTGTCATCTTTGGTGAAAGTAATAACTCTCATATTGTCAAACAGTAGATTTCCATGTCATACGGCTTTTCCCTTGACTTCCTATCAAGCAACTCATCATGTTCAGGGTGCTTTTATTTTAGCCTGATTTATAAAATAAGTTTTAAAACCTCGAGGAAGAGAATCACTGCTGACAACTTTTGCCTTAACCAGATAACAACTTTCATGCTTCGGGTAAAAGATCATCTGTGCATTACACAAATCATTTTTGGGAGCTAGTTAGAGTACAGAAAGGAATCCCTCAGGAACTGCCTGCCATCATGAGCCTCATCACTGCTCTAAGTGCTCTGAATTAGCATATGTCTTTTTTTCAGGCAAATAAATATACTTAACACAGAAGAGAAAAATGCAAATGATACAGTCAGTACAGAATTATTCCATTTAAATTATATCTAAATCTTTACCAAAAATGGGAAAATCAATATTATTATAACACTTAGTATCTGAATTTAATAAATATTTTTTCATTTTAGGGAGGTGGAGGAAAGAGGCAATTGGCCTTCTGCCAGTGTAAGAAACCAGGGTTTATGTTTCAATCCAGTCTGTAGAGACTCTTCTTGATGACCTCCATAATCATATTTGCATACCTGAAAATCTGGTTCTGTCAAAAACTGCACAGTCACAAAAACTGTTGTCTTTACTTTTTATCTTGTAAAAATGCACACAACTGCATGCAAAATGAAATTACTTCTCACCGCTGGCTTTCACTCGAGCACTTTCAATTAATTTCCATTGACTTTATCACACTTTGCCATATCTAATACAGTCACTCCCAATAGAAATGAAGCTCCTCAATAATTGGCTTCAGGTTGATGATAATCAGAAATTTGATCACAAAAAAATTAATTTATTCTTTTTTCTTGGTTCAAAGTACAAATACAAAGGCAAATCAAACATGAACTAAAACCTAGAACACGCAATTCTTTGCTTTTCAAAGTGGGAAAGAACCTGAGATGTTGCTCTTAAATTCCTGCTAATTTATACAATTTCCATTGAAGCTAAACTAAAACTAGAACTCTACTGAAAAACTTTCTGGTTCTGCTTGCTCAATATAATCCTACTTTTAAAGAAATTAAACTTGATTAAAAACACATTTTATTTCTGGTTAGAGACTTTAAAGCAATGTCACTAGAAAAAAATGCATCCTCTCAAGAAGGTTTTGGCCTTTCCCCAGCCCCACTCCCTAAAATCCTCTTTGTAACCAACTTTGTCTAAATGAGCATCCAGTCTCCTGATCTCAGCCTAGAAATCAAACTTCTCTCCAGTAAAAGAGTTTCCTATTAACCACTGTTATATTTAAATATTGATCTGGAAGCCTGAACGTGTCTTGCTTCAACGTTTTAAAAACGCGAAGTTCTGCTGGGTGCTGGCATTTATATTCATAGATTCCAGTCATGCTCACGTAGCAGCAATTAGAAGATATCCCTTGAGTAACAACAATTCCAAAAATAGTCTGTATGCATCATAGAAGATGAAGTATCACTTTCCTCTAAAGTAATGTATGCTGTACATTCAAGTATAATTAGCACACTAGACTTCGTAAATAGTATTAAACTAATTACTGTTCTCACTACTAGTGGCAGATGTGGTTAGAGATTATTAATTACAATGGACAATTTCTTGAATTGAACATAGAAAATGCAAGGCAATTTCTCCACTTTATTTTGTGTCTGATTATTTGCTGAGTATCACGAGGGTTCTTTTAAATTAGGAAGTGCTGTTATTTATGAAAATGAGCGAGTGAAGTAATAGATTTTCTAAAAAAAAAAAAAAAAGCTGTTCATTGACAAGGATGTAATTCTACACCTATTGTAAATGAGGGAAACTACAAAACTGACACACATCAGAAGTACTGGACAAGCACTGGTCAGGGAGGGAGTTTTATCTCTAGCTACATAACTGATATGTTTAGATGGATTTTAAATAAACGTCTAAAACTTCCAACACATGAGATGAAGTAAGTTGTTCCCCAGAAATCTAGATCCTTCAAAACTCATCTACTGCCAGCCACAGGCTACTTAATAGAGACTAGGATAGTCACTCTCTGGCTTCAGCAAAACATTCTGCTGAATATGGGGATGGGCGCAGAGGACGAAGAGTTGGAAAGAGGAACTATCTCCTTGGTGCTATCCCAGGGAACCCCCCCAGACCATTAAACAGATAGGGGAACTTTATTTAATATGCTGACACACGCTATTGTTATCTCAGTAAATGTTAACGGACTCCCACAAAAAATGGTACATATTTCTGTCATTACAAGACATGCTGATAATCCACAAAAGTAAAGCAATTATTTTTTAAAACTGAGGGGATTCTAGAATGATACAGGTATAATACAGTGAGAGGCAGGCTGATAGGCATGTAGGGAGATATCAACAGGCATTCATACTTCACCTACACTTCATGTTTCTTTCCTAGGACATTACTTGCCATATTAGTTTAAAGTAAATTCAACTGTTCAGTTCTGTACTATTTCTCCTCTGACTATTAATTGGTTAGATTTTTCACATAAGGACCATTTTCTTGAATACACTCTTTTGTGAGCATAATGAAAAAAAATCCCATTAAACTTATTTAAATTACAATTTATATTTTGGATTAATTTTACTGTTTTCACTTACTAAGGCTTTATAATCTAAATATTCAACTAACGTGTACACCAAATAGAACTCAACTTCTAAAAATACTCAGTTTCTAAGATCACCCATTCTTATCTAGCACAATCCCTAAGATCCCTCATCCTTATTTATTTGCTAATGCCTTTCTTCACATAAGTGCTATATTGAGTGTGCCTTTAACCTAATTCCAGTACAACATATAAATTTCAACTCGAATCAGATAGTCATCCCAGTAAGTGTAGTGGGTTATACTTTTGGTGGGAATTCAGGCACAAAAATGCATTGGTACAGGTTACAATGATTTGTCAAACACTGACTCAAGCATTCAGACCTCTTGATTTCCTGATAACTGTTTCACGACATAATTGTTCTGTCTTCAGCTAGCTTAGCTAACAGTAGAATCTTTTAACTAAAAACTTCAAAGAAAATAAATCTTAGTGATGTAAAAAGCTTCTATGTAAGAAGCATGTGGGTTTGGTGATTGTAACGCAATTTTTGAATAAGAAATCTGTTACACTTAAAAAAGCAAGCAAACAAACAGCAACAACAACAAAAAAACCCCCAACATCATTACTGAAATTGATGATCTCATCAGGAAGAATATGATGGAATGGGATCAATCCTTAGAGATGGTCTTTCCAAGTTATGTTAACAGCTTCATGACAAATAAAGCGGTGATATTTTCACTAATATATAGCAACACACTTGCTTTGAAGCTGAAGAAAGACTCATAGAATCAAGAACTATTATTTTTAAACTGTAAGTCCTTCTAATTCTGCCTTGCTGCTTCTTTGAAAATATCTCTATAAACAATTAGTATTTTTCCTGTCATATAGAAGCACAATACATTTTAAGTTGTATTTTTAACAGTATCTAAATCTTCAAAATATTCTATTTATAAATGGAACTAGGCCAATTAGCCTGCAACTATTTTAACTGTTGCCACACTTACAGTTAAGTGATGGATTTTCAACAAGCTGGGATGCTCTGTTACTGCTTCAAAGGTCAAGAGAGTAGTCTTAATCAATTCTTCTGATGCAGCTTGCCCTAATGGTAAAAACCACCATAGTTCTTTATAAAATGCAGCCGTTATAATACCTGCATATTAAAGTACTTCAGTATCACAGGTTACCTCACCTATTGCTCTGTCCAAGTTTGTTTCTCCTGATTCAATTGATCTGATGAACTCCTACAAAAGGAGCAGAATTTATGTTAAAATGCTTTAAGAACAAAAATTAAGAAGCATAACCACTCAACAATTACAACAGAAAATTCTTTAAGGAACTGTGTAAATACAAAATGTTAATGCACCTATAGAAATATTATCATATTAATTAATTAAGACTTAAAGTACTAATGATCTAGCTGTTCTAATTCTGCAAGTCTGTAATGCTGCTGGACACTTAAATGTGGAGTACAATAAGAACTATTACTCTGACTAATACCAGGACTTATAACAATTCCAGCTAAATAGACAGTAATGAAATGTCTTTATTTTTAACAGAAAACTGTAATTTCTTAGAAGACTTTGAACTACCCTGGACATGGCTATGTCAAAATAACTCACTAGAATGACCAAAGACCCTCTAGAAAATGCAATCTTCTGTTATTTGTACCATCTTTTTGATCTCCATGCACACTACACACATTATGGATACAGTTACACACAGAAGAACATGTAAACATGCATACAACTTTCTATAAAATAATCACCTAAATTAGTCACCATTTTAAGGAACAGGGGTAATACAATATTAACAATCTGGGTTAAGTAAATATTTTCCAATTAGAATAACTATTATTTTGTTTTCATTTATTTTATATTATTATTATGCTTTCAATATGCATAGCTGTTTATTTCATGGGGATGTAATAGCCATGTTATTAACATTTGCTAAAGAAGGAAAATTCTCTGCAGAATTTGTAGAATGGTCTTTTTTACTAATAAAGCATTTAAGAAAATGGTGTTGTTTTATATTTCACTACCATTTAAAATTTTGTTATTACACATTAAATTGGTAGAAGTATCTACATGGGTTATCTTTTTTCACAGTATGTAAGAAACATCTGAAGGATTTTTCTCTAATCAAAAATAGACTTAGAAAATAATTATATATTTCATTGCTTAAAAGCATCTCAGAGGCAGTCATAAAAAACAACTGCTTTTGTAAGAAAAAAGTTATATCTCCCTGATCATTCAAAAAAAAATTATTAGGTATTATCTAATTAAGTAGTTTTGAAAGAGGGCAAATTATTTTGTTTGTTCATTTTAAGACAGTTTCACACCACCATAGTCTCCAAACTAATTTGGAAAAATCAAAGTAGTTGTTGCAACGTTTGCTCCTTAACTTTGTATTAGAAACACAAGAAAAGGATGCATTTATTTATGAAAAATGCAACTGTCTAGGGTTTCTTAAGCAATGGAGAGAAATGGTGTATTTGTGCTTCACTAAAGGTGATTCTGTGCCCTGTGCACACCAGTAGGAGCCTGCTATTAGCTGTGCCTTTAGGGCACAGTGTGTCCTCCATGTATTTATATTCACAGCAGAAAACATGAAAGGACTGTCCCGACTCCCTCTCAATTTCTTTGCTCAATGCTACTGAAAATTACAGTGATGATAGAAGTAACTTCAAAGCAGCAAGGAGAAAAAAATTTGCAATGAACAACCATTACAGGAAAATAACTTTTCCTTCCAGATACCAAACATCTTTCCACTCCTCATAATTTCTTATTGTTAAGAGTAAGATTGTTGAATAAATCAGGGAAAAAAAAAGGGAGTATTATTGTTGAATAAATTGGGGGGAAAGAAAAGAACAAAACAAACAAAAACTGAAAGAGTGATTTGCTAAAAAGTCTTAGAGGCCTCAATTATAGGAGCCCCCGGTGGTGTAGAGGAAAACACACTGCACTGTCACTGCAGAGACCCGGGTTCAATTCCCGGTCGGGGCCCCTCCCCGGGCAGATGGAGCTCGTTAGCCCTGTAAGGCAATCCATCTACGTCCTGAGGACCTCGCTGCCACCGTCCAAGCGTGCTTGGCCCCGGCAGATGAACCTCAGGATTAAAGGGTGGGCTCAGTTCCGCGTACACTGTGTCTCACCTAAAAAATCCAATGCGCAGGCTGGAAGGTGGAAAGACCTTCCCCGGTTCTTCGTTCGCGAAGAAACTGGCCATTAATTAATTAATAGCACAGTAGTTTGAAAAAGTACAAGCTGATGATGGAATGTCCCTTCATAGATGTCAGTGGGAATGTTGCTAAACACAAAATTCCAGAGTTGCCTGACAGAATGGATAGTTACTCCTTCAGATGCCACTATATTAGCCATATAATAACATGGTTACACAGTTACATAAAATGGATTAAAATGTGATATTAATTTTTCAGATATACTACTTTCCCTCTCTTTTTCATGTGTTAATTAAGTAGTGGATATAAGTTCCTGAATTGCCTTTTTCAATGGAGACAGGACAAGATGCAGGAAACACTGAGTGATCTGCTGCTCCTTGGTTTGAGAGGAAAGCAGTGCTAGTACAACTAGCCTGACTTCCTCAATCAGTACTTCAAACAAGCTGGAGTAACATCAAAAGAAAACTTGCATTATAGCTGGTCTGTTGTACCTAAATTGTTGACAGAAGAATTTCACCTTCGAGAAGGTTGATTGAAAACTATTAATAAGTCTACTACTTAGTTACAAATGCTTCAAAGGGATAGAGGGCTTTGTAATTCAACATCTACAGTTTCAATTTTTTTTTCATCATTTTAATGACAATTTTTATACAAATATTTTAGTAGAGATAAATTAAACTCACATTTTTTTTAAAATCATGACTCAAAAGAGAAAGAGAAGGGAATCTAAATATAACTTGAATCTAATTGTTTGTAGTAAAGCATTTCTTCATGCTATTGTGGAGGTAAATCTCTAGTTGTCATTTATGAACTCATGCACTTAAAAGTATTTGCTTAACTCTGAAAACACAATTTTAGAATATTCTCTTTTCCTCATTCAACATAAAGAAGTGTTTGTCGTATGAAATTACATCAGAACTGTAGCACATCATTTCTGCTATACTATCCTATGGCACAGTTAAAAATTCATTTTTTATGGTTAATGTCATAAATAGGTTATAGATCTCAACATGAAACAAATATTTTAGCTGTGCAGCTTTTCATCAACTAAATTTAGTGTAAAAGTAATGGCAAGAAAAAAAGGTGACAAAATGAAACAAAATATTAAATATAGATAAGTTTATAAAATTTCTCATTTCTACTCACAAAATTCTAGCATTAAATTCTAAAGAGAATATTCTGTGTAATTTAAAGCTAAACTTTGATAGTCTAAAATAAAGCACACAGGAAATGCTCAGTTTATCAAATATGTGCAGAGATCCCCTTTGACCCAGTAGATTACCACAGGAAATATTTTCTGATTATAGAGTTTTGAATATAATCAAAGCTTAAAACATAAATTCAGAAAAATGTTCTCTCTCCAATTTAGAAATTTAATATAATTTTATTACATTAAAGCAATTCCCAAAATTTTATGCATAGGTATTGTAAAAAATATTTAACTTAGATGGTTATACTCACCAGTAAGGTGCCATAGTTAAAAAGAAACTCCTTTGTGACTATCTGGGGACGAAATACCTATTTCAATTTGGCCAAATTAAAAAAAAAAAAAAAAAAAAACCAAACGTTAAATGCATCTCTTATGACCAGAAAAAGTAAACCAACTATTTCACATGTTAAAGTAAAAAAGAAGACAAAATATGTATTTGCTTCTATCACCAGAGATGTTTTACAGTGCACAAAAGTCAGACATCTTTAATGCGTAGGTATGTTGATGAGTATTCCAGCTATGAAACAGGATTAACAGAAGTTCTATTTTATTCATTCTGATCACAATCAGCATTTTGAGAATATGCAAGAGTTTGTCCTTTGTTCAACAAATTTGGGGGGGGGGTGGTGGAATCTACCTGGGATGTCACAAGGTGAAGCACTACAGGCATCATAGGAAGGCACATCTTCAGTTGTTTGGCCTGAACCGTTGATGGGTGTTTACGTCCCGAGACATTAGTTAGGGCATTGAGAATGTCACCTACAGAAAACAACATTTCAGGCTGATCCAACATAAATGCTTCACTAAACCACAGCAACTGACACATAAAACATCTCTGTTTTAGTAGCCTCTGTTCACTCCTGCCTTCTCCCTCCTGCTGACAGTAGTGTTCGTGTGACTGTATGATAGATCCGGCTGATCCAGCATTTCTCTTCCCTTGCTCAGTGTTTAACCAGGTCAATGTCCTACTCTGGCTACAGGGACAGGCACGCAAAGGTGACCTCTGGCAAAATGTTGAGGACAGAAATACGAGGCAGGTGGTGAAGTAAAGGTGAAATTACCCTCTTGGCAGAGTGGACTTATACTGGCTTTTGGTGACTACGTATGCATGGAATTAGAGTATGGAAATTCTATGAATGCAGTTCTACTTCCAGTAAAATAAAAATTTATTTTACTTCCAGTAAAATAAAAAGCAAAATTCTCATGACTTGCAGCTAACCAAGAACTGAATGAACCATGATTAGTAGGTGACATGTGCTGAAGCAGTATGTTTTCCCTGCAGCATAGTTCAAGAAAAAAGAAAAAAAAAATCCTTTCCCCCGCTCAAAAAACATCCCTCCACCAGCCATGCACACATACACTCTCATACACAAATTTAATCATGATGTAAGTGACCTAAAGCTACAGGAACTCTCATAAAAGAGGTAGCAGCAATCAATGAGAGAACTGAGTTGCCTCCATGACAATCCTCAGATACAACAGTAAGTGAACAAAACTTTAATTGCAATAGTGAAAATTATGCTTCAAACTTCAGAAGAGATATATAAAAAACATTAAGGAACATTACGCTAAATTTGTGTTACAATACCTATTGTCTAAGAAAAACAAGATCTTTTCTGCATGGGATACAGAACAGAAGCAGCATGAGAACAGTCACAGCTCATATGCAAAGAAGGAAAATTCTGTCCCTATAACCTGAAAATATTAAAAGTCAAATGCTGTCTTGAAAGAACACTTATCATACTTTTTTCCCTAAGAAGAGAGCTGTGCAAAACTGTAAATAGGAAATCATATAGACATTAAACAGATAAAGGATGAGATTCAGTATTTTATATGATTTTCAGACCAGAAAAGGCCCTTCCTTTCAGAATAAGTCAGAATTTAATCATGTTGAATAATACCAATGCTTTTCTTCTGCTCCCATGGAGTTCAGTTTTCAATATAAGCAGAAATGACAGAGCCTGGAACTAAAGTAGGCTGTAAAAATACCTAGCCTTTAAGACTTGACTCATTCACTGCTGAAGGAAAAGTGTTGCCTAAAACTCTCCCAATACATAAACCAAAACACTATTTTTTCATCAATACATTTTTGTTTCGAATTACACACAGTATTGTAATTCAACAAGAACTCTCTGCGGTTAGTAACAATTTACTGAACAATCTACTTTCTATATTGTAAGGACTATATAATCATCACATTAGGCAATTCTACAGTTGATAAATCAACAGATATGGCTACTTTCACTTTTAGCATGATCTAATCAATTTATATGTACTTCCTAGAAATAGGTAAATATTATAAATGCAATAATAAAATTAATTGCTTCTTTATAACAACTGAAAACTTTTAAAATTATCCACAAGATTAACAATTTATTTCATTTGTCTAAATGTATCTTTAAGGTCAATTTCTACAGCTTGTTAATCTATTTGGTTTATAGCTACATCTGGTGGAAGAAGATGGGATCAGTAAGGAGCTTACATAAATGCATATTAAAAAAGCCAGCTAGGATTAATTTTAAATCAACAGTTAAACTGCTTTTAACTGTTCCAGTTTTCAAATCTGATTATTTTTCTTAGGAGCCCACACCACCTCAAGCAGAAGATGTTCCCTCATCATATTCACAGCAATAAAAAGCCTACTGACAAATGTGGATAAATATGGATACATAATTTGAGATTAAAGAAAACAGTCAACACATAGACCTAGTTTGGAAAAGAAAAGGAAACAAATTGTAAAAATTATGCTTGATATCAGTTGTCAACAATGCACTGAAATTGTAAATCAGTATTAAACACATCTAAGCAATTGATATATTATGTATTATAATAGTAACTATATATTTGATGTATTCAACTTTCAGATTCTGAGGAAATGTCAGGGCCTGCTATATTAGTTGCATACAGCATATATAAACAGTACAAGGTGAATTGCTGCCTCAAACATTTAGAGTCTGAGACTTCCATCCTGAAATATAGCCAATATGCAAACCTGATATTTAGTTAGAAAAAAGGGATCAGATGTTTGCAGAAGGCAAAAATTTCCATTAGCATAGGAAGTAAAGTTTCTTTTAAAATAGCAGCATGACATTTGAGTTTGCTAACCTTTGCAGTGCTACCAACTTCATTTTCAATATCCTAGCAATAATGTAGAGAAGATGAAAAATACAGCAGGTATCATCTCATCAGAAAATAATTTTATGAGAAAAATTCTCCTATGCATGAGCAAATCAGTTTCAGACATCTAAGACAACCAAAGTATCTAGGTTGAAAATTTCCAGGAAAATGGCCTGGAGCAAATATTCAATACATAATTTCAGGGTAAGTGATTACTACGTACTCAGAGATATGCCCTGTTGCATCTCTCCCAGCTCTCTGTTTTGTGGGGCAAATTTGCTCTTAGGTTTTACAATGTTTGGAATATCTTTAGAACATTGATAAAACTTCTTGTACATTTGGGCCTCATTCCTGACTGAACTGACAGAGTAAACTTACCATTTCACAAGTAGAAAACATTAACATAGGAATTCATGCATTCCAATACAAAATATCTGATCATGACACAACTAAAAAACCTCAAGAAGCTGATAGAATGCAAACTTTAGGTAATCAGACAATTCAGTCTTTCCACCTGTGTTTGTAAGGAGATATTTGTTTCTCGAGGGAGTAAGCAAAGGTTTGTTCAGTTAACCAACTGAATTTACCTAGAATTCCTGGCAACTCCCTCACAATGTGATAGATGAGAAGATCCAGGCATTTTGACAGATATTCACTGCCACCTTGCTGCTCTTTTCCTGGTGTGATCTTTCTGCTGTCTCTTTCAATATAAATCACGAGCCTGCATTTAAACAAGTGCAAAACGTTATCTCTCATAACAAAAATTACCTCTATATCTCAAAACTACTACTGCACCAGACATTTCTAGCATCTGTGGTTAGAATCAGGATGATACATTAGTTTTGGCTCTGTATTGTTTTTAAATTTTAGACTTTCCTTTTAATATAAATTTTAAAAATACCGCAAATTACTCAGTCAAGGAACACAAGGGAAGAAACCCCTAAGCTACTTTAAGTAAGTGTAACTCTACTAGTTCAAATTAATATGTGATGCTAATATAAGGAGTGAATCTCTCTGCAAACTTAGAGAGACCTGTTTTACAATCTACTTTTGAAATACATGACCAATGTGCAAATAGGAGTAAAAGACTAAAGGCGTTCATTTTCAACTCATAGGAATTCCAAAAGCAAGAATAAATTAAGTCAATGTAACAAGAGATCAATCTTTCAGTCCAGAAAAATCATATTAACATAAATCATACTACAGCCCATTAAAATGTCAGCACTAGTTGGAATGGCCATATTGAAAGAGATAAAAGTCCAAGCTAGACTTACATCTTTTTTCTAGAAATCGGGTGTTCAAGATTGCTAAAGACAAGCTCAGAGTTCACATTCTAACTGGCAAGTGCTGTGTGGTTATGCTGTTCTGCAGAATGACATTTCTCACAGTGAAATGGTAACTGATTTATTAGACAGTGGCTAACTTACAAGAGATGGCTTTAATAATACACCTGTAACAGAATGCTTCAGGCAAAATTTTACAATGCTTATGTGAATAGACAGAAGGGCCAGACTTCCCTTTAGGGGCATAATATTGACATCTTTGTTTCACATTCGAACTCCCTCCGGGTTCTGTGCAAAGAACTATCAATCACTGGTGAGTGAAATCCATGATCTGTATTTTAAGAATATATTTCAGTACTATCTTTTTAAATACCCTTCTTATAATCAATGCTTTTTTATAGGACTATGAAAATAACTTATTTATACTGTCTCAAGTGTACATAACAGTACTGCAGGACTCACAAACACAAGATTTTACATTATGGAATATGTCTTCCCGATTTACTCAATGAAATAAAAACTACTTAAGAATGCATTTTGCAGAATTATGTCTCACATGACTGTCTCACCTAAAAAATCCAATGCGCAGGCTGGAAGGTGGAAAGACCTTCCCCGGTTCTTCGTTCGCGAAGAGACTGGCCACACACACTATCTGCACATACTGCATATACTTATCCTTCCTAATCTGTTCCACAGAGACACAGAGAAGTCAAAATACCAATTTGGTAACTACTCTTCACCTCTGCAATAGCCCAGAAGAAACACAACTCAGCTGCACTTCCCAGAGATCACAAGGACATCTTTTATTTTTCTTGCAATCTCTGAAAATTGCATTAAATTACAAGGAATTTTGATCTGTTTGTTAGAAAAGAACTACCTAAAAATCTGTCATTGCACTTCAAATAGAATTTTCCTTTTAAAAGCTTTAAATTTTTTCATATAAAAATTTGAATGTTTTAAATTAAAATGGTAAAATCCTTCAAGCCTTTCCAGACAACCAAATAATTTTTACTCCAAAAAAAGTTTAACTTTGAAAAGGGCAAATATCAGAGTTTGTGTGATTTTTTTCTTTAAAAAAACATTTCCATGATTTAGCAACTCTCTGATTCTACATTAGAAAATACAGTTAGATTTAAGTTTTACTTGAAATGGGCCAAATAGATTTCAACATGAGTGGTTTTATTGCTTGGGAGGAGAAGGAGGTTCTTTTTTTACAAAAGCGTGTTCTGTTAGTCAATCGCACTTGGGAAGCACAAAAAAGTAGATTCATTTATTCTGAGAGAGTCAAGATAAAAGTTGACATAAACTCACGAGTTCTCTCCTTTGTGTTGTCCTTCCCATCTCAAAATCATGTTTCACAGAAACGTTTTCTAAAAATATGTACAACTACTTTTTTCCCCTGATTGTCCTGTTTAACTAAACATTGTCTCAAGAAAATTGTGAAGATAAAAATTGTAGAGGTGAGAGTATTAGTGTCTTCATTTTCCTTCCTCAAATTCCTCAGTCTTATGTAGAGCAATTCATAAGTTACTTTTATTCCCTGAAGAATCTCAGTATTCTCTCTAATGAGCAAAACTAGGCCTATAGAAATATAGCTATTCAATTAATTTAATGCACGTTTGTCTTGCACTAAACAATACATAAAAATATGTAGGCATTAGTATAAATAAGTTAAATATGATGAGGAGTAAACCACTGTCTATGAAGAAGCAAAGATTTGATTTTGGAACAAATTTCTTCAAGTATCTGTACTGCAAGATAGGCCATCAGTAAGCTTTTACACTAAAAAAAGAAAAGAACCCAAGTTTTCTTCAAAAGAATGTTAAGAATGAAGCAAAACCCAGAGAATTTCAGAGTTAACAATCCTGAATTATAGGAAGGGGAATGAGGTCTACTTCTTAAAGGAGTGAGAACTGTTCACTTAAAAAGATGATCAACATGAAGAAACAAGAAGATTTAGTCATTCAGTAGATTGAGCACAGATGTGATAAGATGGTCTAGAAACATGGAGAAGTCACTGTAAAGGGAAAGAGATTGCACTGTTTTCTATGTTTAACCTGTTCTTTTTCAAAAAGAAAAGAACTAGAATTTTTGAGAGTTAGGAATAGCACACAATTAGCACAGTTGTCAAAAGGAGGTCATGGAATACTCACCAATTTGCAACAATCATTAAAAATATTTCTCAAGCATAACAAACCTTGACCTGGATCAGAAGGGTAGACTCTGCAACCTGTCAAGGACTCTTTAAGACTTTAAGAGTCTTTAAGACTCTTTTTTCCCTTCTATCATTTTTACATTTGACATTTACCCTCAACACGCTTAAAACCAGCTTTAGATATCAATAAAGTTCAGCTACAGCTTTACCAGCATCTCAGCAGGGGGGAAAGAACGCATGCAGCCAACAGCTGACTGAACCTAAAACCAGGAGGTCTCTCACTAGCAGCCTTCTCCTGCTTCTCTCTTCAGCCCACTAAGTTCACAGACAATGACAGCTCTTCAAGCAACTAAAGAAGGTTGTGCATGCTTTGAGGACATACACAATCCATTTACCCCATGAATTCAAGGACTAGTTATTTGTTTTATTATTAAGTAGTAGTAGTAGTCTTCAACCTTTGGTAACAGAAAAGGATGAAGATATTTAAAGGTTGTTTAATATATCTGTATTGTTTAATTTACAGAGATGTAACATTGGATGGCAGATCCTGCTAATAAAAGGGTCAATCCCCATTTCTTCTCTTTTTATTTTCTTTCTTTTTAATTTGTTACAAGACTGATGGGGTTTTTTTCCTGAGATCACTGACTTACGCAATTGTTCCCTCCTGCTTTCCATTTCCATGTTTTCCCATTTGATTGAGCACCAAGCTTTTCTGTTCTTTTCTTTACTATTTTCCTAGATTAATCTTAGATGTATAAGGCCAATAGGCTCTGCCAGATGTGAGATTGTAGGTTTCGAGCAAAGCTTTTCCATTGAGGGCATATAAGATTTGAAAATTTAAAAAATATGGGAGGGGGGGACAGGTAACAGAGAAAGATATTGTTCAGAAATTATGCTGTTGTGCATAGTCAAGTTTTTGCAGACTGTGACAGTCTGTCAGGAATACTACCCTATCTTTCCGTATCTGCAGACAGTAAAAAACAAGAGGTTTAAATAAATCCTTTTGGAAGCAATTTCAATCTCCAGATCAGTCTCTTTTCACCTAGGAAATTCTCTGAAACCAGTTAGATACAAAAAGAACATTTCAGTGAGACTAATTGGAAATTACTACTAATTCAGAAAAGGATAAAATTAGAAGTTGTAACAAAATTTCAGGTTGTATCCCTCCCCTCAAGAACAGGTAGCTCACCTTTGCAAATCAAGAAGAAAAGAAGGAGACTAGAAAGCTCAGTGCAATTAGCAAAAGAAATTAATTTGCACAGTATAAGTAAACTTTATTTGCATTGCATAAGTGCTACTTGAGCCTAAAAGTTCTCATATCTTCACTAGCTGTATCAAATGTGAAAGAACAAAAGGTAGGCAATGGACTACCATGGAACAGGTAGAAGAAAGAATAACAGGTGAATTGTATCAATGTTGTGTAACAAAAATCACTTTGAAAATTACATTTCTTATTACATATAAATGCTTTTATCCACAGATTTCAAAATCTCAAAGTACTTTGGGAAGTACTTAGGGAAATTTTCATTGGTGACATTCATTGTCAAGGTCTTAACTTACGTAACTGCACAACAACTAATTTAATAATTTTGAAATATGCTAAGATAGATTTGGAGAATTTGGTGTTACACAGGTAAATAGTCTTAAGATTGCATTCAAGGAATCAAGACTTGTAACATGGGGTACTTCTCATGTTCCCAGCCGAGAGGCATCTTTATTGCTGGCAATAAAAAGGGGGTTTAGTTGCCTTTTATTTCCTGGTACCTGTGCAAAAACTGGAAGAAAAACACAAGGAAAAACATCTTGGTAACACTAGCATGGATAAAATAAGCTTGCCTTTCTTTACACTTCCTCTTCCCCTCCTCCCCCTTCCCTTTTGCTTCCTTTCACTCTCCCTTTTCCTTTCCTTGCCCTTCCCTCCCCGTGAGTGGAATAATGATGAGACTGCTATTTTCCTCACATGCCATGGCTTTTTCAGCTCCAAAACCACTTGCAAGGACACATGTCAAAAAGTTTACCAGTGGGAACAGGACTCTATTGTCTGAATTGTCAGTGAAGAAATTTTTCTGAAAATCAAATCTAAAACTCTTCCGGCACAATTTAAGACAATTTCTTCTTGTCCTATGGCTCGTTACTTTAAAAAAAGAGACATCCCCCTTGCTACAACCTCCTTTCAGGTAGTTGCAGAGAGCAATAAGGCCTCTCATGAGCCTCCTTTCCTCCAGGCTAAACAACCTCAGTTCCCTCAGCTCCTCCTCGTTAAACTTGTGCTCCAGACTCTGCCACAGCTTTGTTGCCTCCTAGGAAGAACAGCTCTCCATAGCTTTGGGGTGCTGGCCTTGGGGCAGTCCCCATGCTCAGGAGGGGGCTCGTTTCAGCACAGATTCAAAACACAGCCTCATAGTAGTTACTGTGAAGAAAATTAACACTATCCCATTCAAGCCCAGTACATTTACTGAACTAAACAAAAGCCTTTATCAATGCCAAACTGAACAACATTTAACTCGAAGATGTAGTTATATGCAGTGTTGCCATTAAACAGTTATTACTGTTTTATCATCTGCATCATCCTTTAAGTGATGCACACAGAAAAACTGCCTCATATTGATTATAGTTATCATAAACAGATTTTATCATCTAAGGGAATATAAATCCTGCTACAAACATTAGCTGCAACTGCTGAAAACAAACCATTAAATAGTTGGAATAGTTGCACGTTTTACTACATACTCTTTATATTTCTCAAATCAAACACCTTCATAAAAAGAACCTGAGTATATCAAACTGATTATTGCTTACTGTACTGGCAATTTTGAATTTATGAGTCTTAATTCTGAAGTAATTTTTCTGTCACAGAACTGGAGACATTTAACTAAAATACTCCAACAGGAATTTAACAGTGTAAATCAATGAGTATCCAGTATCTCTACTGGGCATAAAAGGATTCTTCCAGAATTCATTATATTATGAAAGTAGCTGTCTACACATTTAATGGGTCATTTATTCTCTCTGTAGCAATTTTACTTTCTGGATAGAAGATAAAGGGTTTAGGCTAGATGAGCTATTCCATCAAGAGATATACTGGTCACTAAAGAACAATTATGAAGACAACCTTACAATTAAGAAAACCAGTTTGTCAAATCATTAAACTGCCATAAGGCTTTGCTATTGTTTTACCTTATGTGTTACATTATATATTGGTCCCTAATCAACTACGTCCAGAGCATTACAATAAACCAGCAGGATAAAGCCAAAATCACACCCCAAATTCACAACACATTCACTTCAGAAAGGGTGCCCATCAGAAAGCATTATAAATAAAGCAAATTGTTGATAAAAATTATTACATTTCTTCTCTTTCACATAGTACCTTAGGAGGTATAAATAAACAAAGAGTAACTGTCCATGCAGGATTTCTGTCAGACATTTCTCCAAATACACAACAAAGTACTATGTGCTGAATAAGCATATGAATAGCAAGAGTTATTAAAAACGTAACCATTCAAAATGTTACCTACAAATCATTAGAGGCATTTTACACTAACCAGAGCACACAGTCTGATAAAACATTTCTGGAAGTACAAAAAGATACACACAAAAGAAACTTGGATTCAGTATTTTTTCTCTGTGACTCTAAAAATATTGGGATACCTACAGGTTTGTATGTGAGTGGAGGAATATATAATGACAGCACCCACAGGGTGTCCTCTCACAATGCCTTCATGTTATGAGTCACCAGTTCCCTCCAATCCAGCCCTCTAGCTCCAATGCATATGTCCTAATTCTTCTCAAACATCAGTATAAGATACAAAGTTATATTTGCTGTAAATGTAGCTAGATTTACAGCTACCCACACCCCTTATCCTTTTTTTTACTCTTGGTTCCAAACCTGGTTCATTTCAATATTGTAAAAATTACATTTACACCTCATTTTGCTGTTCTTCATACTGAACAGTTGAAGATACAGATCCCAGCTAAAACTTCTTTCATCTTATTTCTCCAATCACCTCAAAACAGGTGACAATTGATATTCTAACACAGTCTAATTTGCTCCTCTCTAATAGAGGAATGTTTTCGTGCCATCAGAAGACACAAAATTCCAAATAACAAGTCTACTGTGACAAATTTCTTGCAAAATATTGTAAAACAAAGAAAAACTAAATATTTCATGTAAAAGTCACAGTAATTTACTGGTCATTATATAAATCATTCCCACAACACATAGAGCCAAGAAATATTATTTTACCTTGAATGTGCCTATACTGAAGAGACTATGGATTATACCAGACCCCAAGATGAGGAAGGTACTTGACAGAAGCTTTTATTTTGCTTTTCCCACCACAACAACTCGCTATTGCAGTATTTGTTTTGATGTGCCCAAAGCAAAATCTGTTCCTTTCTAATGCTTACTGAGACCACAAGTTACTTTAAAAAACAGACTATCCCTGTAACACAGTGGTTTCCATTTTTGAGTTATTGTCACCTGATGACCCCAGAACACTTTTCTTTATATTCTCATGAATGAAAGCATTCATATCACACAGAAAACAGTTCTCTTCTAAAACATTGGCTCAAAAGTACCAAATGTTTTAAAGTATTTCAGGTACAACTTTAAATATTGTATCTTTAATTATCTTCCTTCCTCACCTTACCTTGTTTGACAACTGAGTAGCAACATCTCCCTGTTATTCATTAAAACTTGTAGCAGTACCAGAAAGGCTTTTGCTCGAATAAAAGTTGAAGGACTTTCAAGTAAACGAGTAATTGTAGTCACAAAATCCTTGAGGGAAATAAACACAAATATATTAAGGTTACTGACACCATATTGTAACACTGTGTACATTTATAATTTCCTCATTTTCATGTGCATTCTGTGTTAGTGTAACAAGTAAACACTGTTTACTGTACTATGTCCAAAACTGTATGAGATTAACTACAGAAGATGATAAAACTCATATTTTAAAATGTCATACCTTAAACATAGGATATTTTAATATATTTATTTTAAAAGAAGACTGAACTATTTTCAGAATACATAAATATTTAAGCACAAGTATGATTAAATTTTTGCCTATTCTTTCCCATATATGTGGGAAGATTAAAAACAACACCTTAGTTGGATTCCATCTTGTCTATATCAGACCCCAAGTTATATACCAGATGCTCCAAACAGATGATGAAACTGTTTCTACCATCTCTGATTGTTCTCACTGAAACTAATTTTATTAATTGCTCATAAAGTGAACAACATCTTTTAGGACTCATAAAAAAAAAAGGATAAACTACAAGCAGTAAGGAGCCATGACTTTCATAACCCACTGACCATTCTCCATTCCTACAATAAGGTCAATTTATATGTTTCTAAGATCCTTGCTAACTCACTCGTACCTGTAAATCCAAATAAAAGAATAATTTAAAAAGTTCAACAAGGATAGCAATAAATAAAAAATAACCACAAAATATTTCCCTTTAGAAGTCTAACAATGGTTAGCTGTGCTCTGAAATCACAGCGTTCTTTTTTCTTCTTCTCTCTTTTTTCACCCTGTATATTGAACAGATTTTCTTCTCTAGTTTGGTCAGGAATGTGGCCTGACAGGTGAGAAGACATGAGATTCATGAGTACTGCCTCAGGTTCCAAGGGAATAAACCTGAGAATCAGTGGAAGGTAAAGGAGCTCTCAAATTATGAATACCATGATTAGGTATTATGAGTTGTAAAAGAGGACAATTATTTATGCTCTGTCCACCAATATGTTGCAACTCCTGAAGTAGCAATGAAAAAACAAACAAACAAACAAGAAACTATACTGAGTACCTTCTACCTCTGAGGAATAAAAATATCTGCTACTTATATGTACTTCTACAAAGACCAATTGGGTTACTTGCAAAAAATAACGAAATAAAAGAAAAATCCATCTTAAAGATTATCTTGCTGACAGTAGTGATGACTTTTGGATCAGCTCTTGATCAGAATGTCTTGTTCTAAAAACACAAATCCTACTCCAAATCTCTCTTCTACTCAAAAAAAACACCCCAAAACCCCAAGAACCCAAACCAAAATCAGAATTAAAAACTAAGCCAGAATTTGTAAACTGGGTCAACTGAATATGCAAGAATTAGACTGAGCAGAAATGGCCTCATCAATAGAAACTACTTTCAAACAGTTGAGCTGGATTCTCAAGGGAGCGACACTACAGAACAAGTGTGCAGTCTACACCTGCGTGTTGTGTACAAGGTCTAGAATCCTGTTGTGTGATGCACATTTAACATAAAAAGCATTATTCAAATTCCTCTTTTGTTGACAGAACAACTGCAAATCAACACTGAATGTAGTTTATTAGAGACAGCCTTTACAACAATAAATTCATCTTTACAGAGAATAGAAGAACAGGAGTATAAGAGTTAGCCAAGAAACAATCAGATTTTACTCGGATACCATTTTAATGCTATCTTGAAAAGCAGTCATATAGGCAGAAACTACAAAAACCAAAGAAAAACAAACTGATACTAATTATTCTAGAATTGGTTGTTTGTGCTTCAACAATTTATTTAATAAACAGAAAAATTCCTCAGTCTTGTGGTTAAAAAGTGTAAGCTGCGTAAAGTTTCCTGCTTTAAACACTTCAACAGCTCACAGAGTATGGCTTGTAGTTCCTCCAGTATGAATCTGCAGCAGTAAAGTTCTTAACTGACAATCTACTAAGAGCAAAGTTTGAATTTTTTATAGTGTGGTTTGTGGTTTAGTTTTTTTGTTGGTTGGTTGTTTTTTTTCTAATGAAATTACTCAAAACAACAAAAAAAGTTTTCTTGTTAAGAAATCCCATAAAACCTCAGACTTAGTCAAAGACCATATGTAATGCAACACTGACTGTACCAACATAAATGGACTTGACAGACCATGCAAAGGGACACCATGACAAAGACAAATACAAGTACAAGCCAAAGCACATCTGACTACTTTGAGTCCTCATGCTCTGGAAAGCAAAGATATTTCAATGCTACGTGTGGGGTTACCATGGGTTAACATAACATCAGCAATTAAAATTAGTTACAACAGATTTATCTGGGAATATTCTAATAGTCTGGCTTAAGAAATAAATGTGACATTTTGGAATTTGCTTTTCTGGATTGTCTGAGGACTGTGAAACAGCACCAGTTTATCCAAAAAAACATCTGAAACACATCTTTGCTGAACAGCAAGACTCAATCTGTCTGAAAAGCCAAAAATAAGTGAAATACCTTCAAATGTATTAATTACTAATTGTTTCATTGTTATATTTTTCGTCCTTCCCTGCAACTGTTTGATGTACTTGTGGAGACTCTGCAGGGTAAGGACACTCCTTTCATTGCAGTGTCAACTGCGACAAGACCAGGACTTTACATCGTATACACTTAGTAATACTGCAAAGCTAGTTTAAAACAAAAGCAAAGACGTTTTCAAATTGACTACACAAGGGGAGAACAGTTGGACCACTACTTTGCTATTTCACTCATTCAAAGGTGAATCTTGACAGCCAGATGAAAGTACTTTTCAACTGGTATTTTTATCTACTGTTACAGTGTGCCAAAGACTTTGAGTTCTTTTTCTACGCTTTATTTTAAAAACACAATTTCAACTATTTTAGTTTCCAAAACAAGAAACTAAAATAGAAAGGCTCTGTATCAGAGACAGACAAAACCCAATTCCTTTTAGCTATTGTAGTTCTCTGAAGATTTATACTAGTAACATGATCACAGAACTATACTTCTTGTCTTCTGGCTTTTATTTTTTAAGTGCTTCTTATTGCTGTTCTTGAAGGGAGAAGAAAACAAAAGCAGCCCTAAGTAAGTCTTATAAGCTAAGGGAGTTTCTAGAAAATACACACAAAGCTAAATTATCTCCATCTTGAATTTGCATCTTAGAGCATTTTTTAATATGTTGGTTTGATAGACAGGTAGTGACAACCCTGTCAGTACCTTCTGTGTGGCACTGAGATCCTCCTGCCTCTTAAGCTGTGGTATACAAGAATTCTACAGAAGTAAAATAATTTGAAGGCCAACACTACCCGCTTTTCCCTTCTCTCATTAAGGTGGACTTGTGTGCCATGAACATGGAATACTGGAAAGTACATGGAGTATTTAAATCAATTTTCAGCATTAATATAATATTACTCCATGTAATGTGATAGCATCTGGCAGCTCAATACATGAGCAGTGTTACATTTTTAGATCCCATTCAAGAAAAACAGAAATCTAGTTTCTGCTTCCAAAACGATATAATCTAATTTGAACAAAATAAACATTCTATGAGACATAAGTTTGTCTGAACCTATGAGACAGATACAGTTACCAAATGTGGGCACATAAAGACCTAATTTACCAGTTTTCAAAGTACAGTGTTTTTCAGCTACCGCTTTGGGTATTATTCCCACTTCTGTCACTAGTTTGATATATGCCGTTAAAGGAATGTCCATATTTGCCTGTATTTCAATTTTCTAATCTGCAAACTTTGACTAAAATTGTTCATAAGAGCTGCAGTATCCGAAAGGGAAGCCTCATAACAATTATTAATAAGAAATTCAGTATCTGCAAGGGAGTCCTTTTAGCAATATAAATCCTATGTAATCAAGAAGTTCCTCACAGAAAGCATCATGCTGTAGCCATAGGCTTGCACTCTTTCTCTGAATGTTCAAATAAATAATTTTGGACAATATTTCTCTGACTGCACCATCAACTCACACTAATGTGCACTATTAGAAACTGCAACATCATTACAGGACAATTTGCCATCTGTTAGTGCTGCTGTGGAATCTGTGGAAAGCTTAAGGCCAGCGGATCCGCATTCACAAAATTCTCCCAACGGCACAGAAATTACATTTAGGAAGAGAATGAGTGATTTCAGGCTACAAGAAGAGATGGGTGGAAACCAGTAGATTGTTTGTAATTTAAATATCATTGTTAAAACCATGTGTAGAGAAACAAAACTCTCTCAACTAATGCCCAGCAGATTATTACAGTCAAGATAACTGTCAGGTTACTACATACGTTACAACAGAGTTTCTGATGAAAAGAAGAGCTAAAGGTTCTACTTTCTTTGTGATTTTTATCCTTTCCAAGGAGAGGGAGATTAGTTTTATTTATGAACTGTGCAGACATACTGCTAATAAAATAAACACTGTTTCTCTAAACACAAAATAATTTGGTGACGAAAATATAAAGCTTTGAATCACCCCTACCAAAAGCTATATTAGACATATATCAAAACCAGTAGTTTTATTCAGTGACACTAAAAAGAAAACTCTAAGGTATTAAAGTGGTAGACATTTTAATGTCTGCAAGACATTTCACTTACAAATTGGCCTAAGGTCCTTTAAGGAGAGCATAAAGTACAGCTTTGGATTCAATCAGGACACTCATTATTTTCTCTTTTAAACGGCTAAAAGAGCTATGTCAAATAGCTATCCTTACACATTCCTTATTGATTTTCCTTAGGACCATTATCAGTTATGGTCAGAGTTTTCTGGACTGATTGAATTCTACCTGCAGTAATAATGTATATACCCACCAGTACCATTTCTTGAAGTTCTGTGAGAGAGAAAGAAAAACTATACACCTTATTATTTAGATTTTAAGCAAATAAAAATATAAAATAAACATATTAATCATTTCCTGTTATTCAGATATGTAAATGTCAGAGTTAAGCATTTTGAAAACCAAAAACCACTAGCAGAGTCAACTTTAACTTTTCCTTAGTGAAATTCCATGCCACTGAATAATATTACTCTGAAACCAAACCTTTTCTTGAATCAACCTCTGTAGATGTATCCCACTTGACAACATTGCTGAAAACATGGTGAGCATGTACTGTTGAATTTTGCATATTCCATTTGCCAAGGAATTTAGCACGGCTGTTAATCCCACTTTTTCAATGACATTCTGGAAAGCACTAGGTGAGGAACGAGTAATTCTGCATAAAGCCTACAAAAGTAAAAAAAAAAATTTGTTATTTATTTTGTTCTTATCTCAAGAAAGATAATGGAAACTAAAAGCAGGTGGTGAGTTTTCCAGTAGGTTAGGAATATAAGGAATTCCTACAAATTCATTCATAATGTAAATATTAGGGGAAAAAACTACTTATTTTTTTATAAACCTGGAATTCTTCTAAATATAATGTAAAGTCCATACACTTGAAATTCAAATATTTGCTACACCAACATCAAATAGTCACATTACTCTTTTCCTCTACAGAACGATAATGTTGGAGCAGCACAGTCCATGCTTGAGTCTTTTGTCAAGCACAGAATGTAGGCAGAATCAGATAACACTGTACTAGAAAGGAGCACAGGGAGCAGAAATTACAGACGTGGCACACACTACAGAAGTTCTGGCCCCCCTAAAGATGGGCATTTTCTCTCTCTCTGCTCATGGACCATAATCTGATATGTTCAGTATCTAGAATGTATCTTTAGCTCTAGATACTGCTTCAGATCTAGATACTCCTTATGCAACACTGTTTAGTATAACAAACATGCAAACTACTCTCAAAATGGTTGATTTGCAAATATCAGTGATTAAAACAACTCCAAAAGAAAAAGTAGACAACTGACCATGCTCCAGTGAAGTCAGCACAAACCTGTTCAGTGTTTACTAACTTAGTTACTCCCTAACAAACATTACCAAACTACCTTCAGAGTGGATTCATCTCCAAGTCACTTTTTCCTTTTGATACCTGTGAAAATGCAACCTTCAAGATACTGTAACTGTTTTTGTTCTCTACAGATAAAGATAAAAATACTCTTTAAACACTAAAAATTTCTTTTTCTTTGGCTTTAATGCACTGTTAAGATAGGAGAACTGCTTATGCCAATGATTTGATTCACGTGAAAATCTGAATTGGTTTTCAGGAAAAACTTTGAGAGTGACTTTCTTCTGTGAAAAGTAGGTAATATTGACAATTTGTTTGTTGTCTTCAGACCACAAACAAAAAATATTTAGAAATTGCTTCTTACTTGGTGTGCACTCAATAGCGAGGTCTCATTTGAGAGAAACTGCAGTCAATTACACACACAGAACACTATCACCAGTTCCCCAGTGCCCTCAGAAACATTTCTCAAAACAAAGTAGGAAAAAAAAAAAAGGTATAAAAGGCAGTAAATCAGGAACTTAACAGACAAGTTATTGATGCTGTTCTGCTATTCATCTAATCTGCTCCTGCTCTTCCTTGTCCTTTCTGGTCCAGGAACCATATCGATTGCAGGGTCGTATTACATGTGAACTGCTGGAACCCAGGGACAGACTGTGTCAAAGCAACATGGAGCTAACTTGGTGCGCTAACATCGTGCATGCAGACTTGACAGTGCCTCAGTTCTCTGTTATAGACCTTGTCAAACCAGGGTGACCATAGCCACAGGCCATCAGGTGACTTCCACACAAATCTCATAGGAAAGACATGGCTGTATTCTAGGACCACACTGCAGCATTGGAGGCAGCAGGAAAGCTCCAACCCCCCAACAGTCAAAGGGAGAAGCTTTAAACTCCCAGTAGTTTGTACGTCACAGAGCACTCTGCTGTATGAGTGAGCCCAACACTTCAGCAGAAAAGCAAAAGATAGAATTTAATGAGAGATATAGGACAAAGCATTCTAAATCACTTCAGTAGATCCAGTATCTGGAGAGAACAGATGGAAATGGGTCAAAAGGTGGTGGAGCAGGAACTGGAAACTGATGATGAAAGGTATCTCCAGGTAGCAATCTTGGAAAAAGAAATGTTAACAGTGAGAGGAAGGCGTTGTCAGAGCTTCTCCTGGGATTGGTTTCTCTGTCCCTACTCTCTGCCCAGCCTTAACCAGCACCTTTTCTCTCAGCAGGTCCAACCCTAGCCTCCACCATTCTTATCAGTCACTTCACACTTGAGATTTCTATGATCCTATGATCATCTATGCTCTATCCTTCTGGTCTTATATACCACATATGACTGAATAGTATTCACCCTTTCAGGCTGTCCCCCACGTCTCTCAAGTTTGAGAATGAATGCATGAAAGTGAAATACACAAGTCTTTGAAAGAAATTATTCAACACCAATAATTTAAGAAAAAAAAAAGTAACCAAATCCCCCAAAAGATTGTGGTGAGCTTTCCCAAACTAATTTACACTTAAGTGGCTTATGTTTTGTTACTTATTCTCCAGCAGAAAAAGCTTAGAAACAAAATTTTAAGTTATTTAAAAAAAAAAAAAAATAAAAACTTTTGGTATACTGGAAAGAAAATATTCTTCCTGCTGCTGAGCTTGTCAGAATATCACTTTGACATCTTACAGATAAAAAAACACAGCTTTTCTACAAGCTTAATATGTGATATTTACCTGAGGCATGTTGGACCCCAAAGAGAGAAATAATACTGAGACAGTCCCCATTTGCCACCTCTGACAGGCAGGGAAAGGTAAAGTGTAATTTCTTGACTCCAGAGACTGAAGACAGAGAATCTTCCTAATATATTTTTATTATTGATTGAAATAATGATAAGTAAAAGTCCATAGCGCCTTACTGCTGATGCTTTGCAGACAGAATGCTAACTCTAAGTAAAGATACGATACATGTATTTCTTAAGAGAAATGTATTTTTACATCTGAATATAGATGTCAGTCACAAATAAATTCTTCAGGATACATTCAAACAAGACATGAAATGAAATAAAATAGGACACTGATGACATCAGCTTATGTTGTCATGCAGAATAAAAATGCCTAGATACCTGTAGCAACAATTTAATGAATATAGAAACCATACAGTATACTATAGTTGAAGAATACATTAGTATTTTATGATTAGTATCTTTTCAAACATAACTCATTATTACCAGCATAAGAAAATATATGTTCCAGAAAATGATGAATCACAAGGACTTTTCATAAGCATGGAACTGTAACGTGTGCACTTTTCAGTTTAAGAAATTTTTAAAACATATTTTAATGTAGTCTGAAATATAAATACGCATCCATACAGCAAACATGCTCAAACATGTTTCAGTTTCAATTCAGAATATTTTTCAATACCAAAACATTTCTGTGTCACAAAAGGAAATTCCTTACCGAAACAGCAGTTATCTTCAAAGAATCTACTGCAGAATGTGTGAAAAGGTACCACAAGACAGGCCCGATTTCTCCTGTAATAAATCCTTGTGCATGGCCTGAACGAGTAGTGCAAACATTTTCAATTATCTTTGCTGCCAAGTGGTTCACTACCCGGTCTTCCTATAAGGAGAGGAAAGGGAAACTCATATGCAAATGTTTCTAATGTTTCTGATTTCTTTTTAAACTACCACCTATGTCCACACTTTATTCCATGTATACTGTCACAGTGTGGTTTCTTAATTTTATTTGATACTTGCCAAAGTAATTCCATAGAAAACCTCATTTTGTGACCAAGCTACGTTTACAGATCCTACTTCCCTCCATTTTGCCTTCTAATGCAAAGACAACTTAGTAAAAGTATAAATTAGTAACAAACCTTTCGGCTCCAAATGACCACCCCAAATTAAATGCAGTCATTAAAAATGAGAAGCTTCTGCTATGTTAAAGGTGTTCCATGAGCAGTGCTTTCTGAATGAACGAATGTGTGTCAAAACTCATCAATACAACAGGCACTGAACAGCAAGATTATGAGATATACAGTTACATTAGGAAAAAATTAAATTAAATTAGTTACATTAAACCCTCTTTATTCAGGAAAATAAACAATCCCTGGGATAAAGAAAAAGCCTTCACCGAAGTTAACACTCTTCTCTTCTTATCCTGAAGCAGACAATCCTGAACAATGTTAACAACGTTAACAAATTAATGGGTCCCATTTACTACATCAGCTCCTCAACTTCCATAAGAGATTCTGAATCCTGAGTATTTTTAATACTAATTAAATAATTTTATCTGCAAACTCATTTGTGGAAAGCCACTGTACATGTAGCTTTAATATCTATGTAATACTATTCATACTATAATGTCTCCGTGGAATAAAAATAGTCAGAATAGTCAGGAGCAATCGGCACATCATAAATATCACATGGCAGTAGTTTTTTTCTCAAGAAAACTGTTACTGATTCAGATGAAAGCTTAATACACAGCAGTTAAAAGCAGTCTCCACTTTTTCTCTCTCTCTCTCTCACTTCCCCCTAATTTCTTTAGTGTATCTTCTTTCTTCTTTTTTCTTCACTCCACTTTCACTTAAAATCAGTATTTAACAGACCTGGAAGATACATTGCTGGTGCTTTTTTGGCTGTGCATTGCTTCACCTCATCTCAGTCTTTAAATACAGAATAAGTGAAGCCTTTCAAGAACATCTTAAATGGCATTCTCAAATTCAGCGAGAGTGAATTTTAAAGTAAGAATTTGTCCTCATAGCCTGGCTTCACAAATAATTCATCATAATATCTAATTGATTTCTTTCTTAAACTAATCTCTAATATTATCCTGCTAACCTTTGGATTTTTGACATTTATCTTTACAATCAGAGCCACCACCAGCTTTGAGCAATGACAATGAAACCTTTCAGAAAACAGTACAAAAGCCTTCCCAAAGGGGAGAACTTCATTAAAAATACACTCAAAAGCACTCTTCCTTCTACTGACTTAAGTATTTTAAAATACAGACACTGATGGAGATATATTTGGAAACCCTACTAAAATGCTGTAAAGAAAAAAATAAAAAAAATTTGTATTCATAATTTTCATGCTAATCCTTCCTGTTCCTCCAAAGAACTGCAGATCTACTTAGAACAGTTAAAAGAAATACCAAAGCCAATTTCCATCTAAATCAGTTACATTCTTTTATAAAACTTCACTTATTTCTGTGGTCTTCCTTCTGATTTACAGACCAGAGGATTTAGGCTTCTATCTTTTCACAGTTTTCATTAATGCAATATATTGCATCATTTTGATCTATTAAAGACCTAAGTATACAAATATTTATTAAAAAAATTAAATTATTAAAAGCAGAAGATTCATCAAATAACACTGTATTCCATCATTCTTCTAAATCAACATCCATAACACTTTTCCTTTTATCTAAAGAGAGAATAAAAAGAAACTACAAACATAACTTAATGAAGTAAAGCTGTATCCTCCTGAGAATTCATGATTCTAAGAATTAAATCTTATTTTGACAATAATTTGCAATATAAAGCCTTCACAAAGAAGAATGAATATGTAGAAAAAAAAACTTGTAGACACCTTTTGCACAAAAAATGTTTTACAATTCCGGCAATAAACTAGAGAATTGATATCTAAAGAAGAAATTAAAGTGATAATGTATATGATTCAGAGCACTACTTTTATACTATAGGCAATTCTGCCAGTAAAGTAAAAAACTGATGTCAAAAGAAGAAATAAAAGTGAGAATATATATGATTCAGACTGACATTGTGATACTCTAGGCTGTATTATTCTTTCTGAGAAAACAGGTATGAATTTATTCTGCTCTCCTCTAAATTTTCCTTTCTCCTCCAAGTTCACTATAAAGAAACTATTCTCACTAAGAATATACATTATAAAACATAGCACCTTATATTATATATTGGTAATTATTTTTTTTAAGTTTTCTTTTATTATTAGGAAAATTCCTCATCTGCACATAACCAAAGCCCTCAGACTTATATCTTGCTCCCTAATAAAGGAAGAAGTCCATATGAAAAAGGGAAATATGTACTATATAGCTAACTGGCAAGCTCTAATTTATTAAAAATCTTGCTTACACAGTACCTTGCACATCCAAGAGAAAGAAAATTATCCTTTATAAACTCATTCACTATTTCTGATTCAAATACATTCTCCAGGTGCCACTCTTTGAAATGACAGGATTATGCCCATTTTAAGAGCCAAAATCAGTTAATTAGCTGTAGTTATATATATTTATTTATCTATGCAAGTGTATTTCCTGCATATAATTATTTTGAGATTCTATGACATTATTACTAAAATTGCATATAATTGTGTACTTTATATTCACATGCCATTTGTGAGCAGAAATGGACAGATATCAAGCTCCTGAAAGATTTTTCAATGGTTCCAGTTTTAGGAAGACTGAAAAGGAGGTTTGCACACAGCTTCTGGCACCACAGTCTAATTTCAGTAAACAACCTTGTCAAAGCAACATAATCCAGACCAAATCAGAGAAGAAAAAATAAAAAAAGACATCAAAAAGTAGCTTGGATACGGGAAAGACTACCAGTTCTAAGATAGGAGAAGATCTGAAGGAAGGGAGGGGCCACTGTAAGGGAGAAAAGAGTGGAAGCAGAAAGGTGAAAGGATTGACTGGAACATAACTGTGAAGAGGAACAGATGTAAAGCAGAAACTAAAGCTGAAACTTCACTTAGTTAAGATTAGGTTGAATCTTAAATGTCATAACAAGGAACAAAAAGTATACGTAAGTCAGTGCTGAGATTCAAAAAGGAAATAGGATGATTCATTAGGTGTCAAGTACCCAATGGCAACTTGAACAACAAAGTTTTGAATAAACTAAGTAGAATGGATGAAAGGAAAAGAGTAGTCACATTAGCATTAGATACTTAATATTGAATAAGAATATTCTTTCTGAACCAGAAAGTATCTTTAATGACTGGATAACATAGGAACTGTAAGAACTAATAAGCACTTTATCTGCAGAAATCAGGACCCTGCTATCTTACGTGACTGCACACAAATATTTAGAAGTTGAACTTAGACACAAATATAGATGCCTGGAAGGGGCATTTTGTGTCACTGTTGGAAACAGTTGTTGGAAAAGATTAGTAAATAAATACAGGAATATTTACTACATGCATTCCGACAGACTGCAACATTATACCAAAACTAAAAATGTCAAATCAAGCTTATCTTTTACTTATTAATGAGTGTACCAACTTCCTTATTTTGACACATCATTGAACACAACTGTTCCTTGCCTGAGTTGAAAATCAGCTTCCACCTCAAGTTAGTAACACTGAAGTGCAGGGAATCTGAACTTGTGATCCCCTACAGATAAAAGACTTTCCCAGTCTTGGACTCCACCACCCTAAAACTCCTTTCACTGGCACATACACTTTTTTGTCACTGTTAGATTCTCAGGCACAGAACGTATTTTGGAAATGACACTACCTGCATTTTCTGAACATTTTGTTCCTTTACTGGCAAACAAAAGGGACACACACACATTTCAAACTCCTTCCTGCTCTAGTGTTCTGTTTCAGAGGGCAATTCTGCTCTGACACTGACACATCTTATAAAACTTCAGAAATCCAGGAACACTTCAGAGTAGTTCATAATGACATTGAAGAACAGCGAACCCACCTTACAAAATGCAAAGCTATATAAACTCTAGTATTGAATGACATAAACTGGTTTTATCTTCTTGAACTCTTATTAAATACATTAAATAAAACTTCTTAACTGGCAATAAACATTACAAGTAAGTATTTATAATGGATATGGGACACTTAAGCAAACTGAACGTGAATAAGTCCACTGAACCAAAAAGGATGCAGCCAAATGTGCTGAGGAAGCCAGTCAGCACTGTTTTGAGAGAGCACACATCTTCAACTCTGTGATCAGGAGATACTCCTGTTCACTGAGGGTGTAGGGCAAAGGGCATGCCCACCAGAGTGCAAAAAGAGGAATTCCGAACTCTGGCTCTGTAAAAATCACACAGCAAGTTTTCCTGGATTCTACTTTCAGGTGTGTCATGGTCAAAAAGAGTACTAAAGTTAGAACAGATTTATAGAGAGTAAAACCCACCTGACCAATGTGACAAGCTTCCCTTACACGGTTATGGGCTCAGTGGACTAACAGAGGGCAGTGGGTTTAATTTACTTTAGCTTTAACAAGGTTCTCTAAAAGGTTTCCTAAATGTAACCAAATAGCAAAGACCTAGACTTAAGCGAACTAAAAGGTATGTAGAAAGCTAGCTGGAATGCAACTAGAAGCTGGTATTATTTTGACAGGAAGCTGGACCACAAAATCTCCAAAGGTCCAAACTCATTTTTTTGTATTACTTGATTCCCTTTAAAAGCAAAAAGATGAGAGGCACTTAATCCTAATTTTCTTTACATGTGACCATAGTTTGTGCTTTATTCTCTGTGAAAAAGACTGTTTGAATGTAACTAGAAAATATTCAACATGCTCTCTACCATAACATATCAGGCAATGAAAAAAGAAGCAGTCCTGAACATTAGGGATTTTTCTTCCAGTTGTCATCCTGGTAGCACTCGGTTGGACTCCCTCTTGAATGTCAATATCTTTCTTGTACTGGGGAGCCCAAAACTGAACACTGTACTCCAGATGTGGTCTCATCAGCACTGAACAGAGAGGAAGAATCACTTCCCTGAACTTGCTACTCTCTTGCTCATACAGCCCGTGTTGCTGCTGCTTTGCTTTGCTGCGCTGCTAAGGCACGCTGCTGGCTCATGTTCAACCTATCATTGCCCCAACTCCCTTTCTGCAGAACTGCTTCCTAGGGAGCTTGTGCTGTTGCAGGGGGTTACACCATTCAGAAGCAAGCCCTTGCTCTCACTTTTGTTGAACTTCATGAGTCCTGTCAGCCCATTTCTCCAGTCTGTTCCAATCCTTTTGAGCAGCAGCCCTGACATCCAGATTATGGATGCAGCTTGCCCCACCCATTTGGTGCTCACAACTGGTGAATACACTCCAAGCGGTCACTGTGCTAACTACTGAAGACATTAAGCAGTATTGATCTCTGAAAGACTGATAGTTACTGGTTGTCAGCTGGACTTTGCACCACTGATCACCTGAGCGTATTTTCCTGCTCACCTTATCTTCCATTTAATCAGTTCCTACCTCACCCATTTGATTATTAGCAGACTATAAGTGAGTGTGTCAAAGGCCTTGCTAAAGTCAAAGCATTCAATGTCCATGGCTCTCCTCTTGCCCACAACGCCAGCCGTGTCTCCATCATAGAAAGAAATCAGATTGGTCTGAGGGCTGGAGCATATGGCATACGAGGAAAGGGTGAGAGAGCTGATTAGCCTTGAGAAAAGAAGGTTCAGGGAAGATCTTACTACTGTTTACAACTACCTGACCAAAGAATAAAGAGAAGCTGGGGACAAATGTTCCCAGAGCTGCACAGCTGCAGGACAAGAGGCAACGGCCACAAGTGCAAAATCCAACCATATACAAGTAAAAGCTTTTTCCTATGAAGGTGTTCCAGGCATTGGTCAGAGAGTTTGTAAGACCATCACTCTTAGAGACACTCAAGAGCCAAACAAACATGTCCTGAGAAATCTGATCTATTTAGACCTAATGTGAATAGGAGGTTGGATTAGACGACCTCCAGACATCCATTCCATCCTAAAGTAATCCTAAAGTTTTATGGCTTCAAACGTGTTAAAAAAAAAAAAAATCGCCATTACAAATGAACATCTTCACAAACAGAAAACTGTAGAAGTGCACAGCTGTACTTGGCTAGAGTAGACATAACTTTAAACTTCTGCTTAATTAAATTTAATTTAAACTATTGCATAGACAAGGTAATTCTATTTGTGTGTTTGTTTTTTTTTAAGCAAAATAAATCAAGATAAATTATTAAGAAAAATTTGACATGTTTCAGGACTGAGAAGTGATTTTTTTCTATAGGAATAAATTAGTGTCTTATGGATGTCTCGATTTAGTTTTTCTACACTGAATATTCAGAAATAGCAAGCCTTCCATTACTAAATTTATAATTAAATAGCATCTCACTTAATGTACCTTAGAGTGACACCTTACTCTAATTATGAGCTGCAAATAGTCCACAATACAAACTCAGTTGTGCATTCCTCATCATGTGAAGGTTTGAAGACATTAAAACGCATCTAGGTTCTTTCTCTATTAATCACAATCTGTATGCAATAAAGATCTCAAAAAGGAAGGGAAAAAAGCTATTTCCTCTTGCTTTCCACCCTCCAGCAACCTCCAACATGTTTTCTGCCTTGAGCTTTGCCTTGGGCAAAAATAAAGTCAAGTGGTCTCATACAAATAGTGAATGTAAACCCTCCACTCAATTCTTTTTCATTTTACAAATTGGAACTAGATGCATCTTTTTCTTCCCTTCTTGCAGCACAGCTAAGTCATCCCCCAAAACAACGAAGCACACAGCATAGTACATGTATGAGAATAAACTTAGTAATTAATTTTTGGGCTCAAAAGAATGCTAACAACCCGGTAGGATAAAAATGTAATATTAAAAAAACCCTGTGTATCAGCCACTTCAAAACAGAAACTGAAATCTTGCTCAGAGATTTACAAAAATGTATGAAAATCAAATTGCAAGAGGACAGCACAAACTGTCAAAACATTTCTCAGAAGATACCTATGTCAATAATAAATTCCACATTTATTAACAGTAATTTATATTTACTATCCCATTTCCTCCAAAACAAGCAGCAATACATAAATATTGAATATACAGAGAGCAACACATTTTTGCATTAATCTCCTGCTTAGGTCATGGTCTTATCATGATTATTTAAATTCAAGAGCAATACTTGGTTGACAAGGTACTGCAGTGCTGCAGGCTACAATCTTCACACAACGCCTAAAGGGTTATTACTGTGGAGAAATTCTACTGAGGACCATGAAAGAGCCTTACCCCTTCCCGAAGACACCTCATTAGCACCGTGTAAGCAGCTGAGGGAACAGTCCAGCATTCTCTGGGGTGCTCCCCTTTTTCCTCCTGAAATGAAGCCAGCGGCACAAATGATTAAATCAAAAAATCACAACAATCTCAGTCACATAAAAAATGGGCAACAGATTCTTAATAAGGTTCATATTATACACATTTCAAATTAACATATGCCATGAAAAATATTAAATTTCAGGGCATTATTACTATTTAATGTTATTTCATGTGCAGCACAGAGATTGATATTTTATTAGCTTATTTAAATAGACTCCAAAATCCATAACAGAATTTGTCCTAATATTTCTGCATTCATCAATTCATTCTAATTCATAGAGACACCAAAAAATATTCTTGTATTCCTCCCAATCATTTTTGAGTACCTCAGAAAGAGACAATGGACTATTGAAAAGCAGTAATGCTTCTTTTTAAATGTGACTTAATTATACCAAACAAAATCAATTAATTTTGTCTGGCAACTAAATAAAAAAAGTAAACTTACTTTTGACAAAAAAACTCTACACACAGACAAGAAGATATCAAGTGTTTAATAAAACTTACTGTATGGTACAGCCTTCAGTACATGTGAACACTGTTCCAAGATCTTGATGCATATTTCCTTGAGATCATCCCTTTAGAGGGGCTAATTCCCTGCTAGTTGAATCAGGGGGTTGACTGTTCCATTAGAAGTGAACTCCACTTCCCCCTAACCCCCAGAATAGCCTACTATAAAATTTCAAGTTTAAAACAGGACACTTGGATATCATTAAGATTTTACTGCAACAATTTCCATATCCAGGCTAGTAACACAGAGCTATTATCAAGTGAAAAAAAGGCTTCTTTTGGGAAAGAAACTGAGAAAGAATAGGTATTGGGGAATATGAATACTATAGACCATTAAATCTATGTGTAACTTGTTTTAATAAGTAGACAAAGGATGACAACCAACAATTTCTTCAGAAATTATACAATTCTTGAACTCTACTGATTATATTCCCAAATTATTTTTAGCATTCTAATTAACTGTTTATAATAAAGAGCACAGCATGGGCAAAGTGGAGGTTAATGATGCAGAAATAAATTGTACTTTCTAAATTTGCTGATTTCTGAATGGCTTACAGTAATTCAACATATATGATGTGATAATTTCAGGCATTTAATTGAAGCACAGCAAATTAGCAGAGAAGACTATTACTGAATTGTCTAGTAAAATTAATTTTCCCTCTTTATCGAAAACAAAATTTTATTTACCACATATATTAATAGAGGAAATGAGTTTGTTAAATCTCCCATTTGTAAGCTTTTTTCTGCTAACTTTGTATTAGGAAGTATGGAACAATTCCTCCTTGGAATAATTTACAGACAATAAGAGTGGCTTGACATCCAACAGAAACTGCAGTTCTACTACGTTCCACCTTCTTCACCTTATCTGAGTAACAGCATTCTGACATTTAATCACAGTTTGTCTTCCAAGACTTAATGCATAAATTGAAGAAAATGCAACCCAAGTTTCAAAAAAAGGAAAGGGAGGTTGCTTTCAGTCAAAAAGTGGAATCTTTTCCACCTGGAGGAGGCAGGACAAGACTAGGAGTCAAGACAGAGTTAAAAAGACAGTCTATGTTGGAATTGGCATAGGTCTGCTTCTCATTTTATTCACCTATTCAACCAGAAATTTTGTCAAGCTCTTCTGTAACCATACACATTACATGTACTACAAAATAAAAAGCCTTAAGAAATGGTGCAGTCCTGAAACACTAACAGTTCTTCCATTCTTAATGGTTAATGACTTTTTGCAAGGTTTAGTCTCTATTTAGAAATAAAAAAAGGCAAAGGGGGTTAGAAACTTGGAACCATTCTTAATTACCTACACATACCTACACAGTTTAACATTTAATAAATTTAAATATACCACTAAGCACTGGGGAATCTTTCTATGTTTTGCTCACAGCCCATGTTGATTTTGATTAAACTTTAAGTTCTGCACCCTAATAAGACAACAGCACAAAAGGAATAAAAATATTACATAAAACTTGAAAGTTTTCCTTCAAGGCAATTCGCTCAAGAGTATCAGAACATCCTCCCTGGAGTCTGCTCATGCTACTTGTAAATTGCTCTTGGCTTCTGTTTGGAATAAAAACGCAGAGATGAAGTGTAACACCTTATGAGATTTTGTATTTAAGTATACACATGATATCAGAGTTTAGGATTGAACAGGATCATTACAACTATCTAGATTTTTTTCTAGTATTTTCTAAGCCATAGAAATACAAACAGTGATCCTATATTTAACCTAATGAATCATCAAGCACCTAAACAGCTGAACTTGATTTTAAGTATTTGATAATTTATGATTTACCAAAGGTTCATATGAAAAAGAAGTAATCTTTATCATTATTTAATATTAAAATTGTGGCTGGACCTAGAAACACTTGGCAAAAGCCCAGAGGGAATAAATAAATAAATAAAATCAGTCATCCCCTCAAAAACTCACTGTTTAAATGAAAATTTTTAGCAGCTTGATAAAACCATTAAGCAGGCCAAAGAGCAAAATGGGAAAAAAACAAGGAAAACAAGAAAACCAAAAATATTTTGTGTCCTTAATGAATTAGATGCAGCTATGATTTTTTTTTTTTTAATTCGTCAAATCATAAAGCTTTGCTGTTTAAAGATATAAGTTGGCAATAAACTTTCTTTTCATATTATTATATTACCCCTGACTTGGTTTATAGAATCATAGAATCAGCCAGGTTGGAAAGGACCTCTGAAATCATCAAGTCCAACCCTTGATCCAACCCCACTGTGGTTACTAAACTATGGCACTAAGTGCCACATCCAGTCTCATCTTAAAAACCTCCGAGGACGGAGAATCCACCACTTCCCTGGGCAGCCCATTCCAATGTCTGATTACCCTCTCTGTAAAGAATTTCTTTTTAAAATATGATCTTGGCAAGGTCGTTCAGTACTACTGTTCAGCAGTTTAATGAGCAACAAAATGCCTACAACACTACAGCATTCTGAGGTTAAATACCTACAGAATAGAGAAACTAAAAGGGTTTTACTTAAAAAAAAAAAAAAAGAAGTGTTAGCATCTCCAAGCATATAGATCACAGTGATATTTTTGAAGCTTTACTAAGACACATTATCTTCAGTTCATACGTGTCCAAATATCTATTCCTATACTCTAGTAATTTCTCAGCTATAACTCAAAGCAATGCAAACCATTACTATAGATCTTCCAGAAACATGACAGAGTTTCAGTCATTGTGAAGTTCATAAATACATATAGACTCAAAAATTTGTCAGTTCACGCTCTCAGAAGGAAAAAATCTATTCAGTTCAGGGCTTGCAAATCATTGTGGGTGTTATAGAGCCAGTGCAAACACATCTGTTTCAGCTATCAGAGTTCAATTTCAGAATAAAATCAAGCCATGTAAAAGACTTTTGCCAATTATAATTTTCAAGTTGGAGTTTTAAGTTTATTTATTTTTCTTAGTGGTTAAAAGTATACAGTTATCAATCTGTCTGATTGATACAAATCACACAGAGTTACAAAATTTTTGTCCCAAGGAAAACTGAGAAAGTATTAAAATGTATAAAAGTAACTATGACTGTGGAGGTATTTTCCAGAACATAATTTCTCATTATAAGAACAAGCTCTGTAACTGTGTTTGACAAATATTTTGGCAACCGTCTAAAAATGCTTGCTATCCTACATAAAACAAGGCAACCACATGTGGAACATGCAAATGAGTGAGAGGATGAAGAAAATAAAACATAGAAGTTCAGCACAAAGCCATAACTAAAGCCAAAATAATTAATTTGCTACTTTCATTCCATTATCAACTGACTGTTAAACTAATATGAGAGCATTCAGAGCAACTAGATGATGTAGATAATACAAAGGCTTCAGAGAAGCCAGGGTTAAACGTTTTCTGTTTGAAGACACCTTTGTTCCTACTAAGAGAAAGTATTTTACTCTTCCAATAAGGAAGAAGAAAGGTGAGAGTTAGAGAAGCTGTCATCTTCAATTCCTCATATTGACAGTATTTCTTTTCTACAAATTACCTCTGTTGACTTTTAATGTGAATCTACTGTTTCTAGACTGAAGGTCTAAATCAGTTTTAGTCAGGAATAAACATAAGTCCATTTGAAATTAGTCAGGATCATTCAATGTCCTTTTCCTCAGTGCTCTGAATCCAGCCATGCTAGGGTAAGATATAATAAGGACTAGATATAAAGAAATATTACTATATTAATTTATTGATATTATTGGCTGTCCTGATACATCCTGTTTAATCAACATCTGTAGCTAAGATGTTCTAACGCTTAGATCTGCCACTTGGAGGCCAGCAGCCATTGTGATGGTTGATGAAATTCTTTTATGAAGTTAAAACTCTACACTTGAAGAATGCTACTTGATGAAGGACATGGTTGCACTAACATGTTTCTTGAAGTAGAAAAAGTATCACAGGACACACAAGGACCAGAAACTGTTGAGTATACAAATGACAAAGTAACTTGCTTTTTTGGTCTACTTTTCCATGGGAAGTCTTTTCACATTTTTCAAATTTGTAAGCATTACTTTGCAGTCTTACCTCTCTGGCTACAAGGTAAAGCAGCTCCCCAAGTGCTGGTAGAAGGCACTGCTTCAATTTGCTATTTCTGAAGTTTTCTCTGATGAGTTCTGTTAAAAGTGCAACTGCCTAAAATAAAAAAAAAAATAATCAATATAATCAATATAACAACATGTAACATTATCTCAAGCAAAATGTACTGTTAAAGGTAAAAAGCTTTATCTGAAATGCCACCTTACTGATATACTCTTCACTTATGCTAAGGAGCCATTGGCAAAGGATTTAGTAAGCATTGAAAGACAAGAAAAATAATAATTACAAAACATTATATATGCAACATGGAGAAAAATGCAATAAGGACATAGCCTAGGTGACAAATCGTCAGCAATCCATTCTTCCCTTTCCCTCAGGAGAAAGGAAAAAAAAGCTTATTTGTTGTTTCTGTGTTTCTCTTAGAAGATCTAAAATGCTCACCATCACATTACAAAAAGAACAAGCAACAAAAGACCTCTAATAATGCCTTTTGTGTAGATATTAAATCAAAGGCTAAAGAATTATTAAAGTTTTGTCTCCTGATCTCTGAGTTTATAGACAACTCACTGCATAAGAAGTAGACATATGATTTTAGTTTTCTATACTTCACAAGTTTCTGTATGCAGAGATACACATCTATAATATTTATAATGAGGGCTGGAGGGAAATAAGAAAATCTGATTCATCTTGTGCAGGGGACCTGGTAAGAAATCTCTTTCCCATATACACAAGGAACTGATTTCAACCTAACGTTTCATGGTGGACTCATTCAGGAAACCAAGGACCTTTTAACTACCACCAGTTAAACTGAACAGGATGCTATCTGCTCCCCAAAATCCAAATGCACTCCTACACATACCAAGCATTTAGAAGAATAGAAGCCAGTTGTTTAGGATAGGTGGATCTACATGTCCCCCATGCTCCAAAACATGTGTGCCTTGCAAGAGAGTAGGAAAAAAAGATGGATTTAACACACTTCCTATGTCCCTTAAGTATTTCTTTTTTCTATTTGGAAGGATTTGGTTTTAATACTCTTAAAGCACTTATGTCAAACAGCAAATAAGCTCTGTAAACAGATATGGTTGGTGAAATCAGTGACTTCTAATAGTTTGCATGATATATGAAGTGAGATCTGAGGTTACTTTTACGTACTTTAAATAAAATATTGCACATATTACTTCATTTTATACCTTGGAAACAGTCAACTTAATTACTACTTTAAATGTGAAGTGTGATGTAGCTTGCACTACTTTTTTTTTTAATTAAACAGAGAAAATATTATTAAATGTGTCTTAGCCTATAATAACACTTACTGTTTCCGTATTATACAGAAAACATCTATAACAATCTCTATAACAAATTGAGAATGAATTTTATTTCATTCTTCTGCTTAGGAACTTTCTCCTTTCCCTTTAAACAGCAAAATATTTATCAACAGTATCACTGACGCATTTCATGTGTTTATCTAATGTTTTAGTAAAGAACCGTGGACAAGTGGGCTTTTCAAAAATATGTTAAAGCAGGACTGACTCTGTGACAGTCCTGTCCCAAAGGCATTGAGTCCAGGCCTTGGATTTCATGATGCTACAAATATCTGTTAAGAAGCAGAAGCATTAATACAACAAAGATCATCTAACTAATCAAATCAAAATAAAATAATGTAATGGATTTTTTCACTGTTCTCTCCTAATTTAAAACTACTTTTAATATGGTCAAACAATAGGGAAGAATTAATGAGTTGGAAAAAAGTGATCTGGTGTTTTTCCAGTTAGGCAAGTATTGTATTATCTGTATACAGAGCACAGACTTTGATGACTCATCTCAAGGAACTCACAGTTTGCAGTCTTATTTGAAAACAAAAAGCACTTCAACCCAAGCACCTTGGGTAGAAAAGGAGACAAAGAAGTAAAAACCAAAACAAGCAAAAACCACCACAACCATTCTGCCAGCATCAAACAAATCAAACCACAAGAGCAACATTGTGGTTTTCTCACAAATCACGAGAAGTGTTTGGCCAAAGGCAAAGGTTACCTGAAGTAGTCCTGGCTCTCTACAGTCAAAACATGCCCTCTCTTCCCACACTCTCAAAAGGCCTAGTAAAATACAGTCCCATCAAATCATTAGGTAAGAAGTAGCTAAAAAGAAAGCGTTACTTTGAGGTTATTTCAGAAATCTAAAGAAAACTGTCATTTTGAACATAGATCTCATTCTGTATAAAATGATGAATATAAATGCCAAACCACAAACATCGGCTGCTGATCACTGCCACATACATAGCAAATCTGTCATTATGCATACACCCCAAGAAAAAAATGTAATATGTTATTAAATTCTTGATGGAATACATGCATGCTATGTATCTACCAATTAAAAAAAAAAAAAAAAAACAAACCATAACTTAAGTTTATATCCACAAAGTACAAGCACATAACAAAACATAGAAAGAATTTTAACTAAAGTATGCTAAGGCAGAAGACAAAAATTTTGTTGCTCTGAAAGAGAACCAGTAAAAACGTACATAATCTTGAAAAAACTGAAGATATATTCATTATCATCCCTGACTTGCAGTTAAGAATACCTGAATATCCTGGTATTACCCTGAGATCAAAAACTGCCTCAATCCTTATCAGCATCTTATAAGTCACTTCAGATTTATCACAAGACATCATCAGAAAACTACTCATATGTTGCTGGATTCTGGATTGCTTTCATTAGAACATTTCATTTTTTATGGTGACAAATTCACAGGTGCATAAAATCACTTGCCCTGTAAACAAATATTCGTCTCCTAAATCCTTTGCTAATATGAAATATAATTTATGTTTTTGCAAGTCATAGCATTTTTGCAGTCTCCAACCTTACTGTCATTTTGCATCTCTATAGAAAAAGGAAAAGCAATGACACAAAGGTCTCAAAAGTTCCAAGACAATAATCTGTGAAATTTAGTCTCATTTTAGCAAACTTTGCAAGAAAATGCTCTGTGAAGATCCCACCACAGACATTTACGAAAACCTATATGGGGAACTGACAGGTGAACCAGGTAGTAAATGAAACAAAACAGAACAAAACAAACAAAAGAACAAAAAATCAGGAGTAAGATATGCAGCTATCCCCAGGAATGTCATGGCAGTGGGAAGAATTAAAAAAAGTTTATTTAGAAGACCAGAACACCAACACTTACAGAAACCTAACAGCGCTACAAGGAATCCCAGGCCCCAGGGAGAAACAGCCAAACCTCCTGTTCGCTCCTGGGCTTTATCATCGCTGGCCCCCACGACTCTCCCTGGCCACAACGGCCCTGTAGCATTTCTGTAAGCATTCATTCTCTCCTCTCACATATCAGAGAGAGAGGCTGAGAACTTCTCTTGCTATGTGGGTGGGGAAAAAGCTTTGAAACTGCATTTGAGTTACCTTTCAGGGCAGAAAGCCTTCCTAAGTGAAAATTGTCTCCTCGTAACAAAATCTTCCAGAAAAAAGGGTATTCTATCCTTACAAGGAGTTTACAGAATTTAACTATTATAGTAACAACAGTTTCTAGTCCTAGAAGTTATAAAATATCTTTTTTCTTTTTCTTTTTAAATAGTGTAGAGATATATTTGGCAGTACTTTTCCTTCCCCAGAGCACTGAGGAGTTTTTACCTCAACTTTTCCTTGATTTTACTTCACCTTCTGACCTTAGTAGCTTCATCACTCCAATCTTTGTACAGCGACATAATATAAAAACTGAAAATGCAGTCTTCAAATCAAAGCAGAAAGATCTACTAAACAAACTTTGACTTTCTCCCCTTTTTTATGTAATGCTATGTTCATTAACTGGTTTTTTTAACTGTTTTCAGAGCATTTCTACGAATTTTATTCAGGAACTTCAAATAGCCTGCCATTCAGAGAGAGCTTCACTTTCATATTTAAGAAATAAATGCATCAGTAGAGGTTTTTAAGCTTCTAATAAAGCTTGAGAAAGTAGTAGTCAAGCTGGTTCAAGTGCAATTCTGCACTAAATGATATACACAAAAAGACAGCATTTCCTCCTTTTTCAGCTTTCCTTTCTATAGCTATACAGAATTATTCTTGCTTTTTTGATTAAATATATTTTGAGAACTACTTTCACTGTGGAATCAATACCACTAAAAGTACTCAGCACTGTAGCATTTCTCAGCTTTGTCCTAAAGTCTAAAAGACTGAGGGTGAACATGCCACGAGATAGTATTGAAACTATATAAAATTGATGAACCATGTGATAACATGAACTGCTGACAGTAGTTCCAGCAGACTAGATGAGACATTAAATCATCATGATGTGTAAGTTACATTTGTTTGTTCATTTGCGGGCAGGATTTGAAGAAAATACAAATCAACCTGTACATCTGCTATAGAGGATCAAGGCAGGCTGCTCAAAATTATCAGCTTTAATGATGAATCTCAACCAGCAGAAAACCCTGTATCAATGCTAATCTGGATTTGCAACTGAAATATTTATTTTCCCAAAGCATGGTTAATACATGGTTAATACATCAGTAAATTTGGACAACACACTTTCTAAATACATTATGTCCTACAACTCTCAGAATCCTATGTTATATTAAATAAAACCATGAATTAACCTTTGTATATAATAAACAATTCCTATGTTCACTTGCACTAAGTTCTGTTAGAGTTACTGTTTCTTACTCTCCTTCAAGATTTTAGGACTAATTATTTTTATTCTGAAATGATTCTAGTTATTATTTTTTATACTGAAGTGATAAGAAAAGAAAGTCATTCTCCCGATACTTCAATCCCTACACTTTTCTTGTATATGAATGAAAAAGCTAACTGAGTTCACAAAATTCAAACTGTGAAGTTATTTCCTTTCCTGTGCACTAAAAAAAACTTCCATAAAGCTAGTCAACTGTGCCATAAATTCCAGAATTCATTTGAACAAAAATTGGTTTATTGAACAAGAGAGAAGTTGTGTTTGAAGAAATCTGAGCCATTAGTGACTGACTTGTTCTAAAATTATTAAATTGTCGTTAAAGAGAAACAGTAGTTGCATGAAATCTTAGTTATTATCTTCATATATGATAATCGATTTGTCCAGTACAGGTTCACTTTAGTAA